TCATTATAAAACAATGACCCCTCACACACAGAAGAAAAAATACATAAATACGCAGAGGCACACATGCATACAGAAAAACTGCACCCAAATGGAAACAGTAGTTATCTGTAGGTGGCTGAATTATAGTGATTTGTCTTTAGTGCTGCATTGTATTTTCCACATTTTCTGCATACACACAGTACTTTCATAATCAGAAAAAACATTTTAAAAAGTAGAAACAACAGGGACTGGCCCCATGGCCTAGTGGTTAAGTTCTGTGCACTCCACTTTGGCAGGCCAGGTTCATGAGTTTGGATCCCAGGCATGGACCTACACCACTCATCAGCCATGCTGTGGTGGCGTCCCACATACAAAATAGAGGAAGACTGGCACAGATGTTAGCTCTGGGCTAATCTTCCTTGAGCAAAAAAGAGGAAGATTGGCAACAGATGTTAGCTCAGGGCGAATCTTCCTCAGCAAAAGAAAAAAAACATAGAAACAACAACAAATTGATTGCAACATGGGAGATTATTTGGGTGCCGTGTTTGGGAATTAGCAGGAACAGGTGAGGCTCCTGCAGTCTCTGCTCTCAGGCGGCAAGGCTGTGACAAACCATGCTGGCCCCTTGTCTCCCTCTCACTTGGAATGCTATATACGAATGTAAATTCTCCAACATTAATCTTCCACTCTACTGGTGCGGGGAGGGTTGTGACTGACCAATTCTAAAGTTTATCAGGAAAAAAAAGCAAGGATAGCCAAAAAATTTTTGAAAAAGAAGAAAACCTCATGGGGGCAGAGACTCAAACTTTCTACAAAATCTCAACCATTTATTGAGTAGGTCCTTTCACCGCTGTTTAAGATGCCTTCAAAACAGGCTAAATTTCCAAATTTTAAATAAAATAAAATTTTAAATAAATTTTTATATATGAATCTGATCTGACTTTCCATCGAGGCTGCCACAAACAGCTGGGCAGGCTGTATACTGCACATCCTGGTGGGACTGGGGGGAGCAGAGATTCACAAAGAATTTGGCGCAAATGGCCCCCCCCAAAGTCGCACAAACAGGCCCTTCACTCTTCTTTTCTATAGATGTATTTGTCTATCCAGCAAATGGTATTAGGACAATTTTCTCTGGGGAGAAAATATTAATTCATATCCCTGTCTCAATATACACAAGCCTTTCTCATTTTTGTTTACATATTACACATTTCTGTTTGAATTTTGTATTTATAATCAGCAGAAAAATATTTTTTTAAATCTACCAAAACTAGTGTATCTTTTAAGAGTCTCTTGAGAACGTCTGCATACAGCTAATAGGAATATCCTTATTTTTTTAAAAAGCAGTCTTTAAAATCTTTTTCTAAAAAGCTTTATTTTGTAGGGGACTTTCATCTGTGTTTATTTTTCTTTCCTATAAAAGTTATGTGTTTGGAACACGTCACACGTCACTGGGTGGGTTAGTTGGGAGTGTAGAGAAAACAGTGTGTTGGGGGTGTGGGGTACCAGGCGGACACACTATTTGGAATTGCATGAGAACCAACGTAAAAGGCTTAACTTTTGACACCCCAACTGATAAAGACTTTCTTGCTCAATTTAGCCTTTCTAATGTGCCAGAAATTTAACCACAGGGATATAGGTATTCTAAAGAAAGATTGTGTGTGTTTTAATATTTTCAGTTATGAGTTTTTAAGAAAATGACATTGCCACTGAGTAATATTATTTATAAAGCCCAACTAAAGTATCTTCTTCCTAAGTTTCCACAATAAAAGCCTTCTTACTTTTAAATAAAACCAAAAGCTTCTCTGTGACGTTAACAATTGAACACATTTTTATGGAAGATTTGCCCTCATTCTTGATGCTCTGACCACATGCTCTCTCGATTATCCTCTCTCCACAAATGCATCTAGTAGAGCATGAAGGTTATAATCGCTGCTCTCGAGTTCTCAAACATACGCAAAAGGGACTGGTTCTGCTGTAAATGTATACGAAATCTTAAAGATGGACTGACCAGCTTTGTGTGAAAAGTGCAGAATTCTACCCTGAATTAGAAGAAAGGGGAAGCAAAGGCGTAAGAGAACCAGGTCCTGCTCAGAAGACCCAGATTCTTGCCTCTGGGGCACAGCATTGTGTCCTCTGCACTCGCAAGTGAAAGGGGCCAGAAATAGCACATTATTTATAAAATTATCGAATAATCTGAAATCATTCTATTTCTTCTTATAGAAATAGAGAATAAAATTCATCAATCTGAAGAAAGGCGGCAGCAGCTGAAGGAAGAGATAGAGCTACTTCAGGACTTAAAACAAAGCTTGTCCTCTCTTCAAGAAAATAGGTCAAGTTCAACTTCACTATCTTCTTTGTCTCCTTAAGGACGTCCGTTTCCTGAGTCAGGCATAGCTGCGAGCAGGCTCGGAACTGGAGACCCAGCCTGCGAGACCCACACATCTTTCAGGACCGGGCCTCTCATTCCTCTCTGGTCTGCCACCTTCCATTCCTCATCAGCTCTTGCCATTCTTGCCAACTGACACTTCGTGCCTGACTGGGTGTTTACTGCCCTCCCTTATCATCTCACTTCTACCTCCCCCCTCCGATGAAATGTTTCTCAGGTTCTGCTTGAGTAAATGGGATCACGCCTCCCATCTCCCCCACCTTCTGCAGGAAAAATCCTGCAGTGGCTTCCTGCTGGTGTGTTGCCTCCCACCCCTCCCCTACTCCAGGGATCTAAGTTGATTCCAGTCACAGACCAGGTGCTCCTTACCCCCAGGGCCTTTGCGCCTCCTTCTGTGAAGTCTTAACTGCCCTTTTACCCGTCTCTGCCCACTCCTCCTGCAGATCTCCTTACACCAGTTCTCCTACTTATTCCATCTGAGAGTACTTTTCCTTCATACCACTTCCCAGTGTAACCCACTGTCTCTTCCATCACACCCCTAGCATGTAAGCTGACAGGAGGAACTCACTATTCTGTGTTTCGCTATTATGTTCCCAGCACCTAGCATTCTTAGTAAATGTTTGTTGAATAAATGCATAAACTTCTTATCTTTTGAGACTAGTTCCAGCTCATAATGCCTCTTAGATATAATAAATTTGAATATTCTACTTTTACCAAATTTACCTTCTTGTCACAAAGTCTGCTTTTTAAATTTCTTCCAGCCACAGTCACCACATGCACATATGTCATCTTCAAAATAAACATTTGAATTTAAAACTGGACTCTGAATAAGAACATCAGTGGGACTATGCAAGAACGAAAAAAACTGATAGTTAAGCTTCGTCTCAACCTAACAATATACAAGAACGATTTTTATGCCCCACCACGTCTGACCCCTGAAAACCTCAAATTCACATTTCTAATTTTTTACCATAGTACTGATTCACAGTAATGCTACATTTCAAAATGAGTTTGATCCGAGTCCCCAGAACGGTGCCTGGCATGTAATAAGTACTCAAAAATTATCTGTTGAGGGAAGAATATGATGTAGGTGAAAAAGAACATGGCCCGTTGTAATGGCAACTCCAGCCCAAGTCATTATTACCTGAAGGACAGAATCTAGATCTGGTTTCCAAATATGGCTGCACATCAGGATCACTGGGGACACTTAAAAACCAGAGGCCAAGACTCCATCCCAGACCCACTGAAGAAAGATCTCCCCTGGAATGGGTCATTACTGCAACCTCTGCTTCCTCCCGATAGACCCTCCTATAGCAAAGCTCATCTCAGTAAGTTTTGAGATCATGATCTTTAAAAGAAAACCTTTGTCTCCCACTTTGCTTTCATATTTAATCTGTCATTCATGGTAGGTAATTTGGCACCACAGAGCAACGTGTGTTTGGCAGTCATAAAGGAGGCAAATACTGGGCAAACTGTTCAAACAGATCCAGGTTTGTACTTTAGCTGTGTCACTTACTGCTGAGAAACAGTGACCCAATGATTTAACCTATCTGAGCCTAGCTCTCCCTACCTTATGGTACAAAATGTGGGCACTAAAAAAGAAAATGTACGTGAAGCACAGGGCACAATGCCTGGTGCTGTGGGAAATAACTGTATACACACAGACGCAAGCTCACGCTCCCCTGGACAAGGTTTCCTCCCAGTGGGCCCTGGCTGCTTGTCTCCATTTTAATCAAACTCACTTGCTGGTGGCGAGCTCTGAAGGCTCAGCAGCCCCCACCTCTAAGCCTTTGCTGGTGCCACTTACCTGTTGTTCTGGAAATGAGCTGAAAGGACGCTTTGTTTTCCCCTGCACCGCACAAAAATCTGAACAGAGTTCACAATGACTGCTTCTCATATTAACTCTCTTAGTTTCTCTCACTATTATGAAAAGCTGTTTATAAATATGTTATTGTTATTAGTTCCTAAACCTCTCTCTCCTTCTCCTAACGATTTATACAGTCCTCAAGGACTGGAACTATGTCTTTCCCGTCAGTTATAAGTACCCCAAAGGAGCCAGATAGATTTTTGTGTTATGACAGTTCAGCTGTACTATCTTTTGGCAAGAATAAAACCAAAGGATTTCTATGGGTGGGGGTGGGCGTGTGGGGGGGTGTGTGTGTAGCTGAGAGACAGTTGACGTGTTCATGGTGGTCTCTATTTTCAGCCTGATACCTGCTAAGAATCACAGTACTGAGTTTTTTTTAATTGTGGCAAAATACACATGAAATTGACCATGTTGTAGTTCTATGGCCTTAAGTACGTTCACATTCTCGTGCAACCGTCACTGGCATCCATCCACAGAACTCTCTTCATCTTCCCCAAATGAAACTCTTGTACCCATTAAACAGTAACTCTCCATTCCCTCCTGCCCCCAGGCCCCGGCAGCCACCATTCTACTTTGTCTCTATGCGTGTGACTGCTCTAGGTACCTCACATGAGTGGAATCACGCAGTATTTGTCCTTTTGTGACTGGCTTATTTCACTTAGCATAATGTCCTCAAGGTTCATCTAGGTTGCAGCATATGTCAGAATTTCCTTCCTTTTGAAGGCTACATCTTAACTGATTTTTGAGGAAGAAAAACAACTCTCCACGCCTGTTTTAACAGATTATTTATTACTATGTCATTCTAAACATTACATAAATACAGCCTATATGCTAGAGTATCAAACATTGTTCCAGTAAGAAGTTCAAGAGTACTTTTAGGCCTGTTTTAAGAAATATGAATACTTTGGCTTTCATTATTACATCATGAAGAAAGCAATTCAAAGAATAGTTTTTATCTCCTGCTTAACAACAGGTTACGATTAACAACAAAACCGAGTAGAAAAATAAGAGTGTATTAAAAAAAAAAATGAAGTACTTTTTCAAGGACTTATTCCTGTTCTCTTCACTACATACATAGGCAGATTACTCAGTAATGTAATATGAGAAGTGGTTCTTCACCTATATTAGGAACTCAGTAAATATTTGTTGAATGAAAGAACACTATGCAAATGGATCTACTACTTTAATTTGTGCTTTTTTTTGATGTTTTTTTTCAAGTAGGAACAATAGTAAACATACCGAAGGTCTTGTTTTGTCCAGATCATAAGCCTACAGAACACTGATTGTTACCAATACTACCCATCATAGCTAATAATCAAATCAATATGCGTTTATCAACCTAGTAAGAAAAAGTCTACCATGTTGCAAGGCTTCAATCACTTGTGACATGGTCAAGAAAAGGGGGCTGGGACTTCTAGGTTGGTGGTTATTTCACCTTTCAACGAATTCCTATCTTTGGGCCCTCATCTCCACCCCACCCCCCCACACACACACTTAAAAACGTTGCTAAAAATAGTATCTGCAGCATCTCTTCACCTTCTTGCTAATTTGGCTCTGAAATGTATTCAAGCTCCAGGTTCAGATCGGGGACCTTCCAAACAGAAAAGAGTTCACTAAGGGAGCCCCTACAAACGGAAATGAGTCCGTGGGCCAGAGAGCAGAACAAAGCTTTGTTCTTAACGTAAGCTCAAAGGACACACATGATAAAACTCAGAGTTGAGCATTCTTACCTCCCAAGGTCACACCTCATAACCAGACCAAAAATACCCCATAATTTTGACCCTTTTTCATAGTTAAATTATGCTCAACCTCATACCTAACACAATTAAAAGGAGAGGAGAATCAAAAGTGAAAGCTGGAGAAGTGTCAGCTAAGCCGGTCTGGGATGGTCTCTGCCTGACACAAAGGGAGAAGGCAGGTCTCATCCAGTCCCGTGGGGAAGCTGCTGTGCGAAGCGCCACAGCAGGGGTGATGCACAGCAGCCATGATTTAGGAGGGCCAGAGGACGCGGAGCATGTCACTGTTTCCCTCTTATGATTAGCACTGACAAGGGAAGGGGCGGGGCAATTTAAACTTGAGTTCTCAAATTTTATCTTAATAAAAGTGTTTACATTGTATAGTAGTGAAGATTCCAATTTATAAAATATTCACCTTTGTCCAAATGAAGTTTCTTTCATTATCAACTTTTCATGGAGAGTCCTAATTTACTACTCTTTACGAGCTTAAGTCTTAGAGAAATCTTGGCTGACCTAGAAATTTATCTTTGCATAATTATCATTTCAATAGGTTGAATTCATATTAAACTGAATATTATTTTGATACACCGTGAAATTAAAAAAAGTCATCCATAGTGCAAACCCACAAACAAAAGCCTAAAATGATCCTAGCTATTCCTTCACAGTAAGACTACTGAAGTAGCAACCAATGCAGCACTTCCACAGGCCCCAAAGTCAGCATCTTCAGTTGCTGGGCGGGGGGGGGGGGCTCTGTGTCTGTCTCACCACTCACACACGATCTCAACTCCTGCTGTCAAAAGGGTTGCTGATATGTGAGCCAGGAGAGTGCCACACACCTCCCCTTCCCAAGTTCACAAGTTCCTCTAATCAGGAACAAAAACAAAAAACCACCAGCTAAATTTTCACCCTTTAACAATGTTCCAGCCAAACATAAGGTCACATTTAAAATATACATAGCTGGAAACAAGCGTTGTTTAAAACGGGTTCAGGAAAAGACGCACATCTTTCATACATTCCTACACAGAGACCTGTATCTCGGACGTGAAAAAACCCACTCGGAGAATGACATCACCCCTCGAGCACAAACGACACACCATCTCCCATCACCTGCCCAGCACTCACACAAACCCAGCAGCCTCGGGCTTCAGTTCTTAAAGGCTCCACATTTACTGGCTTTAGCAATGAATTCCTTTAGCAGAGGGCCATCCATTTGCCAAAATGCTGCAGTCTGTGTCACTTCTGTCAAATGATTGATGCAAAACTTAAAGCAGAATTCTTCTAAATCCTGGACACACACGACAAAAAAACAAAACAAACAAGAAGAGGCCTTTTTTAATTAACTTTGAATTACTTCTCTCCAAACCCCTCACCCCAAATCTCTTACCCTCCCCCGGAAAAGAAAGTTGAGGCCTGAAACCTCAAACTAGGCAAATAAGTGACCAGAGGCAGGTGTCAGAAAACACACACTATTTGCTCACACACGGGAAGAGCAATGATGCCCCTGCGTCAAGTGTGACTCTTCATAACAGACACACACGGTCTATAGGGGAAAGTCTCCTCACGGTCACCACAGGGTCTCGTCACACTCACAGACATTGTTTTAAAAAGCTGAAAGCAACTTTAGTCCATATCATATGTTTTACCACATTCAAGAAGTCAGAGAAAGGAATTAAGATGCGGATAATTTAGTTTAAGGAAGAAAAAATTTTAAGAAATAGAGAAGTGATGAAGAGATTTTAGAGAACCTAAAGGGATACATTAAAAACAATTCCAAGCACCTTGAATTCAGTTTCGTGCTCTCCTGAAGTAAAAATGCCTTCATTTTTAAAGCCACAAAGAATAATATGCTGCAACTTCTACCACACTAATTTCTCAGTCGATCCAGTGAAGAATATTCACAGATTGGATTTTTCAGTCACACAAATGGAAGTCACCAACCACCAACACTCAGAAGGGAAGTAATATATATAAGTGGTAACCGGAACAATTTACAAATCTATTCTTGCCTATGCGAATACATCCTTTCATCCTCAGCAAAACTCTCCTATAACGCTGTCTGTTCCTTCAAATGTGGGAATGGATATTTATGAAATCAATTTGGTACCTGGAATGTATACAAAGGCTAAGTATATAAAAGCAAATCACACTAAAAGCTCTTATCACAAATAGCTTGATTTTTATAGCTTGGCCGGCTACACTGAGGGTCAATATTCAGGGTTCTTTCAAACCAGAAACTCAACAACATTTAAACTGCAGGGTCTTGGCTTCACGTTTCCAGCCACCATGAAGTGAGAATTTTAGGCAGAGTGAGGAAGGGCCCGCACAAACATATGGACACACCCCTTTCCTGCTCTCTCAGTGCAGACCCTGCAAACAAATATTTCCTTATTCCAAGGGTCCCTTTGTCCCTCTCTGAAAGATGCCCCCCTCCAGTCATATAATCAGTAAGAAACAAACCACAACCAACGTGTATCAGCTGCTGCCAGAGTCTTGTTTTTTGGGTAATTCAAAATGCATTTAAAATGTTAGCACAATCTCGGGATACATGTTTTCTAAGAGATTCCCAGGGGCCGGCACCCTAGCCAAGTGGTTAAGTTTGCGCGCCCAGCTTCGGCAGCCCAGGGTGTCACCGGTTCGGATCCTGGGCGAGGACACGGCACTACTCATCAGGTCATGCTGTGGTGGCATCCCACATGCCACAACTAGAAGGACCCACAACTAAAATATACAACTGTGTACTGGGGGGATTTGGGGAGAAGAAAAAGAAGATTGGCAACAGATGTTCGCTCAGGTGGCAAGCGTTAAAAAAAAAAAAGAGGTTCCCAGTGGGCTGAATATACAGCTGAATGCTCTATGTATTATAATAAACTAAAATGTTAAACTATATAAAATGTTTCCTCTCATATTAATATTAAAGAAACAGCACTACTCCTAGTATTATAACCCAATGGTTAATAAATAGCTCAAGGGACTAAATTATATTCCACAGGGAGATAAGTCCTATTTTAATCTTATTTAGCAAAAATAGAAAACTAGTTTATCTACATGTAACTTAGGAAGAAGTGGCCAGTCATGAGCACAGAAAGTTCTTCAAACCATGTAATGTACCAGATAAGGATCTTTAAATATTAAGTTTTAATTATATAATTTCAAATTCAAAGGAAAAGAAGAGTGCTCTAACTCCTGGCACTGTAAAACCTTTGTCACTTCTATGTCTACTAATTTAGATTTCAAGATCTTTGTACCATACCTGAAAGAATTTCTTCAGTCTACTAATTGTACAGATTACCTTGAGTATAAACTTTAAGAACTTTTTAATATAGCACAGGCATATAAAGAGTGCTTCTAATTATGAATCTGTTCCTAATCTATGGAAATATTCTATCAAACTGCCTTCCCTTCACCTCTGATTACTTGGAACTGGTGAGATTTCTCGGTATTCAACAAACGTTTAACGGCTTCAAATATTAACTACAAAATGCTGAAAATAATCTAAATCTGGGTTGTTTAAATAACTAATTGAACCTGGGTTGAGGCAGATCCTTGGAAAAGGAAGCACTGAATGCACCAGGAGAGAAATTAGACAGAAACTGGAACCTGCAAGTTGATCTGCATGAACCAGAGAGGGGCTCAGCCAAACAGACTCACTCAGCACCCAATTCCCTGAGCCAGTTTGTCTTTCACTGTGAATCAGACAAACATCCTTCTGATAATTCTTAAATACTATAAGAACCTAAATGATCTCCTCGCCTCATTCTGCCAATGATCAGAGCTTCAATTACCTAGAAAAGAAAACTCAACTCTTATCCAACTAATGAGTCAACTGTAACAGCATACTGGGCTGTAAACAAGACATTTCCAAGAAGGACAAGAAGGATCACTTGACCAGTAGATGACACGCGTTCATCACAGAAGGAGACTCTTCTCAAGGCCCATGGAACAGGGAAGTGGGAGAGGGTGTAAAATCAAGGGGGTCTAATACAGTGTTCTCGGTATTCTAGAAACTAAGTCCACATTTATGACATTTCGCAGTGAAATTATTATAAAGTGGTTCTGAGGCAAATCAGATAAAAAAATCAGATTTGTTGTAATTAGCAAAGGAGACCAAAATATAAAACTGCTATTCTGAAATAATTTATAAATTAATTCCAAATGTTTAAATGTTTAAATTAAATTATTTCAATCCCTACATACTATAAAATAAGTTGTTTTTCCTTTCCACCGATTTTCTTTAGTAATCAAACAAAACACAGAGAATTGATGGTCCCAACATCTACATTTTTAAAATGCTAATGCAGCCTTTAATGGAGTTCTTATCCAGTCTTAAAATCCCAAGCTAAGATGGTTGAATGCCAAGACTTCTTGTGGAAGGCCACTTGGCCAAGGTAGGACAGGTTCCCTCTGTGTCATTCCAGATTCCAGATGGCAAGAGACTGTGAACCACACCTCTGTCCAAACTTATTGTTAAAGTAATTACAGAAGAAAACTCAAAAATCAAGTCCAGAATTCATTTTATAGTATATCAAGTAAAAAAGATTCCAGATCAAAGTGAGCTGTTTTTTGTTTTTTAGAATGTGTTTAAACATCTTACCATATGGGAAAAACTAAAGAAAGGTGCTTTCTCTCACTACCCAAAACATATTTTACAGTCTACTGATCATGGAAAACTTTTAATTTGCCCCTCTGACAGAAGATAAAAATGCTGAACATCTGGCTTTAGCACAAAGTTTTCCAATACTCATATCCCAAACCAATTTTGGAATTAGATTCCTCGGCTCATGTTTATTGCTTCCCACCAAAAGCAAAATTTTAAGACATAAGTTGATCAGCAGGTAGAATTGTCTGGAAGGTTCTCTACTCTGGTTAGACAAATACTACTACCCAAATGTTTCTCCTAAGGTTCAAATACATACAGAAAACAAAAATTTCCTGAAAAGGAACAGTATAAACAGAAGCATTTCAAAATTTTATGTGATACAGAACTATCTTGAGACAACGTTTTATTCACATTGTCTCCACTGATGTCAATATTTTTGGGTTTGTGCTAGAAGAATATTTAAGTGCTTCTTCTCCAAAGCCTTCTTTACTTTATTAAAACCTGTAGAAAGTCTGACAATGCATTCATAATACAAGGGTTCCACAACAACTAGCCTACTTCTTAAAATCTTCATAACTACTAAGTCAATACATTTTTTTTTGCTTTTATGTTATGTACATTTGCTTCAAAATTATCTTGTCAAAAGAGGGTATTGAGGAAGTGCAATAACTTTTATTGAAAAGAGAAGAAACGTGAAAAGCAGGCAGTCACCATCTTCCAAGCATTTCAACCCACGGGATGAAGGGAAAGTCATCTGGCATGCCCAAGGCGAGCTTCGGAGAATAACCGTTTTTGCAGTTAATTTCCAATCTGACTTAGTAGGAGTGTCTTCCCATTAACTAATAGATACAGTAAGTGGGTTTTATTTCTATGTTCTAAAGACTTCATTTATTTACTTACTACATTCTATAGCATTAAAGAAAATGTAAAAAGTACATTAGTCAATTACACAACTCCTACCAGAACCAAAAAAAAAACAGCCTAGAAAGAAAAGTGATTTTTTTCTCTTTATCTTCTATTTTCTAATTTTTCTACATGAAATGTGTAATATTTGTTAAGTTTGGGGTTGCTGGGTTGTTGGGTTTTTTTTTTTTTTTTTTACATTTTCAAAAAGCACACCATCATGGTGAGGAGTTTCAAATATACACATTCATTCATTTAACTCAACATATATTTTTGATTGCCAACTATATGCCCACACTGTGACAGACTCGGGAATCACATGCATTTTGTGGTCTCAAACAAGGGATAGTTTTTAATGTGTTTATATTTAATACGAGAAAAATGAAAACTAGCAAAGGAAATGATCATAGAGCTGGCATGGGTAGAAGTGGCATAAGGCTTTTTCTGTAAACTTTCTGGGGTAAATTTTAGCTGAAAGAGAGGAAGAAATTTCCAGCAACTAGAGCCAAGATGTTTGTGTCTGCCCAGGAGGTTCTGATGGGTTTTAGTCAATTAGCAGGATCCTAACCACAAGAATACGGAACTCATTAGCCGTGAGGAGGAGTATGGAGAGACACAGAGAAGATTCTAAAATCAGTCACCAAATGGAAAGAAAAGGCATCGACCAATTTAAAATTCTGCCATTGGGTGGAAACAAAATCTAAAGAAATAACATTTCTAATAAAGAATTTCATGGTGTCACAAAAAGGGCAGGGAAAAAAACTATATTTCCATTTCCTATTAGAAATGATTTACTTTGATTCTATCTGCTGTCAGGCTGCAGAGAATGTCAACTATATTTGACCTTATCAAATATTTATAATAACAATATAATCTCAAATAAAAATAGGATACATTTTGAAAATACAAGACATAATGGTCCATTTCGATCCCTAAGTGCGACAAAGATGAAGTGTCCTTCACATCTCTGAGGCCACAGCTGCAGGTCTCTGCGAGTGTTTGGTAAATTCCCTGATACCAGGTATTCTGCCTCATTGTATGACAACAAAATACCTACAAGAACAGACTAATTGTGCCATTTAGGGTGCATACCTTATCTAGATATCTTGAACTCCAAAGCTATTGCTCTCTACCTTTTATTGTCGATGAGTTTGTAAACCCACCATACCAACCTTCAGTTCACTAATTATCCTTAACGCATCCTTCAGGTGGTATAACCTTCACTCAGTTCAACAAACATTTATCATCTAGCACCTGCTACATGCCAGGCACTATTGGTACCCAGATGAACAAGACACAGCTCCTGCTCATGAGGAGCTTACAATCTGACGATGCTGTGGTTCTTAACTTCAAGAAAATGCACGTAAACACAAAATTTCAGACTCCCAAAAGCCCATTCATTCACAGGCTCTCTAGAGATCCATGAATCCCAGATTAAGAACTCAATCCAGTGCAAAACAAACAAGCAAACAAAAAGGAGTCCAGAGCAAGTTCTTCACACACAGATAATTGCGAGTTACAATCAGACAGTGATAGAATTTCAGAGCATACATAGATATAAACCACACGGCATCCTTGCCTCGTGACAGGGGAGAGTTGGGGAGACAGCAAAGTGGGTCTCGAAAACAATAAATATGCTGACCTTGAGAAATCCTTGAGGCTAAAAGATGCAGTTTGTTAGTCCAACTAGGTAAGGCACTTTACATTCCAACCTGCCGTACAGCTGCTGAGACCTCAGCTAGTTTCCTTTCTTAGTTAAAAATGAAAGTAGAGGAGCAATCGTTTTTGAAACTATGAACAGAGAACAAACAAGCAAGGCTAGAGTTCATTTTTTTAGGGACCAGTCAGTTCATTGATAAGAGACGTGAAATTATTCAGCATGTTCCTTGCCTCACGTGAGTAAAGGGGGTAAAGGAGCCCAGGGGCAGTCATGGTGGTTTTGGTGTCTGTTTGCTGTGCTATGTTACCTCTGCATCATATCTGACCGCAGCAGAAAACAATGAAAAGGCATTCTCCACAGTGATTCCTCGCTTGATAATGTGCTGACAAAGTTTTTTCAGTCTATTTTCACAGTAAGACGTTGCCAAATCCAAAAGACCTGAAAATAAAAAGGGTGAAAGATTAAATCAAGTTTATGATAGTTTCCCATAATATATAAACATACATATTTTATTTGGTGAACAGTTATGTAGATAAATCAGCAGAAGTTTCTTAGTGAATAATACCCTGAATTTTACTAATAAAATTTAATTCATTTTAATTAATTAAAATAAAATTAATAGAATTTAAATAAATGCTCTTTTTACTCCCTACTCCCCCCACCTCCAAAACATTCCTCTTCTATACTCACTTTATACAAGTTCTTCTATAGTACAAAGGGGAAAAAATGGAATTTCTCACCCTCATCTTGTTTCTGAAATGATATGCTAAATCCATTAGCAACTTCAGTCTTAAAAAAATTATAAGTCCACAGTCATAAATAAACTGTCCATAATTATTAACCATGATGACTACACAATACTATTTTTAAAGACCTTTACATCAAATCTTTTTTAAAAGCCATGTAAAGGCCAATAAACCTGACACTTTTTACATTCCAGTGCTATAAGAATATGATGAGATATATTTTGACCATGTAGCTTGGCCAGTCCCAAGTGGCCGAGGTACCTATAGCATCCTCAGGCGGCAGATCAACTGCATCTGTGTAGAGGTACTGGAGAAAGGCACGATACACTGGGTAAGAAAACTGGTCTATTTCTATCACTTCCTTCATGTCCTCATTCCAGTAGGACTGAAACATGGATCGAAAGTGCTCACACCTAAAACAGAACAGTGAAAGTTACCCAGTTAGGTTGATGGACTCAGATAAACAAAAATCACAGATATCCTTAAGTGCTTCAGTATATTTGGGCCTGCCCACTCCAGGATCATGAATCTGTAGCTAGCACCCTAAAAGCATTCCATGTGCAAGGGCTTTACAGTCAGCTTTCACGTACACTCCCATTTCTGATGAGTACTTCCTGTTAAATATTAAGCATCACGTGTAAACCAATTCACTTTGGCACTTTAGCTGACTACTGTTTCCATTTGACGGTCCCCATTCAGATCAAGTTTCTCTGCTCACTTGTTTATTTTTAAAAGATGTTGTACAGAAATGCATTTTAAACAATGAAATTAAAGGAAATTCAGAAACGAGAGTTCAAACTTTTGACTGTATATTATATCATTTAAATGATTCATTTGTTTTTTTGATTCATGTAATCAGCATATACTTAAAACTGTTTTAAATGTTAACTGGATTACATTTAAGCTGATTATTGTTCCATTAACTTACACGACAATTTCCCTCTTTTCTGACTCCTCTTCAAAACAGCCATCACTCCTGTCTTATTCCTCGCCTTTGCCCTGCTCCCTTTTCCTTTCCTTCCAAGACTGTTACCAATTTATCTATAAAACACATTCACTAGGAGAGTCATGTATTTCAAGAAAACCTAAGCAGGTCTTTTTGTATCCTATTTACATGTACCAATCCACCTGTATGAGGAACTGATATCTGAATACAAGATTTTCTTAAAGTATAACATACTTTAGAGTTTTAAAAAATCATCTTTTCAAATTCTTTTAAAATGAGATACAGTAGAAACAAACACAAAATATTTTCAAAATCCACTCAGAATACCTAAAGAATGGCTCCAGTTACATAAGAAATTACTTCATCTGAGCAGTAAAAAGAAATAGCTGTCTAAGCAAGGAATAATAGATAAAATGGGTCAGAAAACGATACATGAAGGGACTAGGCTGGCCAACCACAGGTTCATAGAGAGAAACATTTCCAGTTCATCTTTTCAATTAATATTTTACTCCCTTAAGTAACGAATGACATATGGCTTTTTAGTTCCCTTAAAACATGTGATTTTGTAAATAAGTTTCTAACTGAATTTCCCAAAACACCTGTAAATGGCCAGTTTAACTCTCAATGGTCTGATCTGACGTGCCTCTTTCTCTGTAACGGCAGTCTCAGTGAGCAACAGTCCAAACACTTACTAATAATATGAAGTTCTGCACTTTTATACAAAGAGCTCCTGCCATGTACTATATCCAAAGAAACGTCTTCAATTGGGAATGAGATGTCTCTGCGGGCCAGAAGTCCAGCTTTCCTGACTATAAGAGTTATCTGCTTGGGGAAAATAAATCTTTAATTAAAAGTAAAAGAGGACATGTGCACTTTCCACTGACAATCTTCTATATGTTTTTTAAACCATGTAAACAAATGTTTTGATGGAAATAAGTATTCACAAGATCCTTCACTTTAAAAACAATATAGACAAATACCTATACTACCATGTTACGCTTTTCCTAAAAGGCACGTGAGTGCGTGCACACACACAAATATGCAAAACTCTCCGATAATGAGTGGATTGATACTATCTGCAAAAATATTAAGTTGCGCCATTTCACTCTACTGCCAAGGTAACTTCGTATCAGTCTCCATTTTGTGGAATAACAAGAAATGGAGAATGCAACACAGTGAGGTTACTGATGTCTCTAAGCTCACGCAAAAATACCTGATTTTCAAAACAGCTTTATGGACGTGGATATATTTCCCATCAATTCGAAACTTCAAATCAGCAGTTTCTGGACTATCAAATTCTTTCTTCAGTGACTCTGCAACTGTTAAAAAGTCTTCATGTTCTGAAGGCGACAAACACATTATTAATACAGGAAGCTCAGGAAACAGACTCAAGATCTGAAAGACTTCAAAAAGATAATTATTAGCATAATGGATGATTCCAGTAGATTCTTTTCAAAAGAGTTCACGCCTTATTTGACAAATCAACTTCACAGTATTAAAGTAAGTATCCCAAATCTATAAACTACAAAAAAAATGTATTTGGAAAGACTAAATACCAGTCTTACATTCTAAGCTAAACATTAAAAATGTGTATTTTCAAAAAAAGAAAAAGTTATAGGTAATCTATGATTATATAACTACTCTCTCAAAACTTGAGTAGTTCTCTCTAAGGCTAAGAATTTATCGATTTTCATTGACTGAAACACTAAGAACACCTCTGCTCTGCTTTGGGGTAGTTTCAAGGGGTTGGTCGTTCAACTCAAGGAGTGTCAAGAAACAAACTCACCACTTAAGTGATAATGCTAAGAGTCGTGTTCTTACACAGAGAAACCCTTTTTCCTAGGTATCTGGAATCTAAACATCCCTCTTAACCCTAAAAATTAATGTACAAAGAATAATCTTTACATATCATCTAAAAACGGAGCAAATTTACTTAGTAACAATGTATACTCAAAGGGACTACTTTTACAAAACTGTGATCACATTGCCTGATAAGAAGGAGAATTGCTGTTATGATAATATATAAGTAGAATCGTGTTATTATGAGGGAAAGTAAAGGCACTTGTGCAAATTCACACAACACTTTCTTGTGCTTTATATGTATGAACAAAGGAAAACAAGTAGAAGGCTAATGGGGAAATTTAAAAATTCCAGAGATCCTCATCGGCCCTGAAACGAAGGTGCTATAGACAGAAGGGACAGGTGCCCACTGCCCACAAGATGAGAAGGGGACTCAATCAAAGAACTGAGCTGCGCCTCTCAGTAGCCTTGTGATACCAGGGCAAAACTTAGAGGAGGTACAACTGCAAAAACCCAGGCTGAAACTTAACAAATGAGCTTATCCATGAGCTTTACTATCAGAATCTCCCAAGGAAACATCATTCCCCTAAACCCTGTGACCTTAACCCACAGTCCACCCCCAACCCCCACAATGCCGAGATCTCTTGGCTATAGAGGAAAGGTGGACAATCTCTCAAAAATCAGGCTTTTCCTGACCCTGTAACCTGGATCCCCAGTGAGTAAAAGAAAGGGAATGACTAGGACAGCCAAGGAGTCCAGGGGTCTAGACTGCTACCCACCCACGCAAAAAATAGCTTCTTATCAGTGCCTCAACTTCTGCATCTAGTCATAACGGTTAAACTAACCCTTTCCTCTTGGTTTCAGGCAACAAGTATAAAACCTCCTTTCAGAGAAAAAATATTCTTCAGAAGCATGAATTCACCTCTGACTTTCTTCCTAACACTTAGCTGAGATCACAAACTGAGAGGAAAAAAACACTTCTGACTTTTAGTGGGTGGAAGGGAAAGAAGTTATCTGGGAGAAATAGTCAATGACCATATTTTTTCCAAATTTAACATTAAAAAATGTTCAGATGTTTGTTCTGAAGATGATGTTAGTGCCATTTTAAGATGCAAGAGGCTGGGGAGCCTTTTTTTTTTAAAGATTGGCACCTGAGCTAACAACTGTTGCCAATCTTTTTTTTTTTTTTCTGCTTTATCTCCCCAACTCCCCTCCCCGCCACCCCCCTTACACAGTTGTATATCTTAGTTGCAGGTCCTTCTAGTTGTGGCTCATAGGACGCCGCCTCAACGTGGCCTGACAAGCAGTGCGATGTCCGCGCCTAGGATCTGAACCCTGGACCGCCATAGCAGAGCGCGCGAACTTAACCACTCGGCCACAGAGCCGGCCCCTGGGGAGCCTTTTATAAACATGTCCAGGTTAAGCAGTACACAGGAATCTGACGATGTGTACCGAGCGCTTCCACTGTGCATGCCATACATATGTCTGTGATTATCACCAAATAGTCCCATTCTGGGAGCTAAATTTTTTCTAATCACAATATTCACTGCAAAACAAATACTGTATTATAGTTAAAGAACCTGGAAATGTTCCATTTGCTTCACTTTAAGTTGAGCAGCAGCTTAACTCTTCCTAAACACTCTTGCCCCCATGACCATAAAGACTGGTCACCTGATAATGGGACAGCGCCAGCTGTCTGACACACCTGAGCACGCCGTGTATTACAGACTAGCCTTTAATATCCATGGCTGAGAAACCCAAGTTCTCGGTTGTCAAGAGCTACATTAATTTTCAAGCACAGGGCATCATGACCCACTTATTCCCTCTGCATACAAACGAAAGAAAAACTTAGAAGAACTACACCGGCAAAAAGACAGAAATGAACAAGAAATAAAAGGAAAAGAGATTAAAATAATCTTGTTAATGACCAGTCAGCTCTACATTTTAATATTTTCTATCAATAATGGACTCTTAAAGATGGTGATATTCAAAAAAGGAGAAAGATTATGTAACCAAAGATCACCCTGAATTCCCCTATCCTTTATAAAACCTCTGTTCTGATGCCCTTCTAAAATAAAACTATTCAAGAGACTAGCTGAAAGAAAAAGAGAGTTGACACATCACCTTAAAAACCACAAGTTCTTCACTTTTTTTTAAAGTTCATTTTTGGTTCATATTGTATTGAATTATATAATAAATTTAATATAACAAAAGCACATAAGAACAGGTTACTAAAATATTTGTACATGGATGTTCACAACAGCACTATTCACAACAGTCAAAAGGAGGAAACCATCCAAGTGTCCATCAACAGACAAATGGATCTAAGAAATGTGATATACACATACAATGGAATATTATTCATCCATAAAAAGGAACAAAATACTAATATATACTACAACATGGATGGGCCTCAAAAGCATTAAGTAAAAGAAGCCAGAGAAAAAATGGTCACATATTGTATGATTCTACTTATCCGAAATATCCAGAATAGGCGAATCCATAGAAACAAAAAGCAAACTGTTGGCTGCCAGTGCTTGGGGAAAGGGAGAATAGGGAGTGACTGCTCAATGGTTATGGGGCGTTCTTTCAGGGTAATGAAAATGTTTTAGAACTCGATATAAATGGTGGTTGCACAACACTGTGAATGTACTAAATGCCTCTGAATTGTACACTTTAAAATGGTTAATTTTATGTATGTGACTTTCACCTTAATTAAAATGAAAACATTTAAGGGGAGAAAATAGTTAAGTCCATATAATATTTCATAACATGAATATATTCTATTATACAAATCTAATTTGGGCCAAGGTATTAAAGCTAATTCTGGAACCTAAAAGAGCCACAGTCAGCAAATACGCAGGAAAACTGGTAAGTTGATATTACCCTCCTTCCTGGGTGGAAAGCAGCCCTGAGCTTTCTTACCTACAGACAGGAGGCGCCACGAGACGGCGGGAGAGGCGAAGCAGGCGAACACGTCGTCCGTGCAGGAGAAGTGCGTGAGGTGCGGCAGGATCACAGACTGGCCCCGGCACTGGCCCCACATGTACACGTGCCCTCCCTGGGTCTTAGCAGCAGACGTGTGGGCAGAGTGGCAGGCTGCAATCTCTACTACCCTAGAAAGTTTTCAGAAGGATGCTTGTCACTTTTTTATCACAGAAGCCCATGGCACACCACACAAGGTAAATAAAACATTCATGCTTGGAACACCTCAAAAAACAGCCCAATTCGAGGGACATTAGCTGCCAAGTCATATGGACAAAAACCACAAGATCAGAGCAAGGGCCCTATGTTTCCCCCTTCCTGGTCACCCCACTTCTCATCCTAACCTCGTTCTGAGTTAGGATAAATAATACATACTCTTGAGGAAGATTTGGAAAAAGGGACTAGAAACCAAAGGAAATGAAGAAAGTGGACTCTGACAAAATGTCCTGATAGTTCTGGGGGCTTAGACAGCAGCAAAAAAATACTGTCTTCAATATACCATTTCCTTACAAGTAGGACTTTTCCTCTCATGCCCTACCAGAGCTCAGGACACTCATTAGGCTGATAAGCACTGGTCTATGCATGACGGGCTCTGAACATCCCAAACCAAATGGGCGTCAAGCCAAACTTCCTACATTTCTCAGTATGCCTCTTAGGCAGGGTTCCGGAATCAGAAGTCAACATTCTATAGCTTGGTGGGTAAGATCTCACAATTTGGCTGAACAAACACTAAGCATCTATTCCAGGAACACACATTAAATCAAATCAATATTTAAACAGACATGTCCTTGCAAGGGCAGATTTTATTTATTTAGAGTTGTCTTAGTTGGCTCAAAGGAAAAGTTTGTACCACACTTTGAATTTCAACTTGGTGACAGTCCCTCTTTTACGCCCCTGCTAAATGGGCAACAAGAAGTCAGCAGGAATTATACCAAGACGCATTAACGCCTACCAATCACAGGAGGTTTAGAAAGTTGCACAAGAATCGTATCAACCTCATGTTCATTCTGGCTGGCACTCAAACTCATTTGTTCAAAATGAGAATGTTAATAAACAGAAGAGTTCCAAAGCCAAACACCACAGCTATAGCACACAAGTCCCAAGTCCACAATGCACACACAATCCCAAGACATGGTACAGCCAAGTTACCTTTCTTTCTCCACCATGATGTGTGCTGGGCTTAGCAGGTTATTTTTATTGCCAGTTCCCAGCTGCCCATATGTGTTAGCTCCCCAGGCATAGAGCAAGCCCTCGTCTGTTAGTGCTAGAGTGTGTGCATAGCCGCAGACAATCTGCAAGTAAATTTGAATGGTTACCATAAACAGGAAAACAGGAAGGGCAGGGAAAACATCTACTTAAAGATTACAGCCAGCTTCTGCAGAATGCCAATTCATCATCAGGTGTGGACTGACATTCTCTGGAACATTAAAAAAGCATTAGAAAAGCCTAAACCTGAGACTACTGGATTTTTCCATTTTTTCTTGTCGAGACTGACATGCCAGCACCACGGTCTTCCTTCTCATGATGGGAATTCAGAGAGGATGTAATACTAAATGTGGAAGGTGAAGGCACAGGGTACTGTTCAAAAAGATTTACTGAAGAGTAAGTCTCCCGTATCCCTTCACGTCAGAGCAGGGAAGACAGACGGGGATCAGCAGCTGGGAGTCGACCACACGTACCTGGTTCACGCACACGCTGTGCAAAGCTGCCACTCTCACAGGGGTCAGCTGATTGCCATTGTTTCCCAAGCCCAGCTGACCATTGCCATTGTAACCCCAGCCATACACCTTAGAGACAGAAAGGGGGAGAACAGGCTTTTAAAACTGCTAGTGAGAGGGAAGAGATAAAAATGCAGTCCATCTAAACAAATCGGGTACACTTTTTTCACTCCAACACCCGTGCTCTACGCTATGTGATCCTACGCCGATCTCCAAACAGATGACATTTTAGGGGTATGGATGACAGAATTTGGCCATTCCTACTCTATAACTTACTAGTTGGATAGCCCTGGGCAGGTCACTAATTCTTATTTTATACATGAGGAAGCTGAGGCTCATTAACAATTATTAAGCACCGTCCTAATAACGAGTTTTTGGTCACAGCTTAACAGGTGAAATGGACATACGACAATTTCTTGCAGCCAGGTGGCAAGTGCTAACAATAGAGATATAATCAAGGCACTACAGGAGCAGAGAGGAGAAAGGACTGAGCTCCAGGAAGAAAGTTCAGGGAAGGCTTTTCAGAAGTGGAAATTTGAGCAGGGCTGCAGGATCAGTGGGGGTGAAGGCATTCCAGGGAGCGGGCAGAGAATGTGTTGGAGGCGGGTCCAGAAGACAAACAGCTGGCCTGGTTGGACACACCTCAGTGGAGGGAAAAGACTAGAAGGAAAGATAAGGGCCAGGGGATGAAGTGCCCAACACAAACGGGTAACGGAATGCATCTATGGATCTGCCACTGGAATATTTCAAAACGGAGATTAATATGATTAAATTTGCATTTTGGAAAGATCATGCTGGCCGCAGTGTGAAGGGTGACCGGCATGTGTAAGACTAGAGGCAGGAAGACCATTTGGTGGATAAATTTCTCTCTCATCAGCAAAAAGGTGAACTCTGATGAGGGTCCAAACTAAGGCAGTGACAGTGGGACCAAGAGAGAGGGAGTGGATCAGAAAGAGGTTAAGGAGGCAGGCAGAACATGGTGATCCCTTAGCACCTGGAGCCAGAGGGCAGTTATGAGATGAAAGCGGCAGAGCTGGGCACAGGTGTGACAGGAGTGTTAGAGGTTTAGAACGGCCAGCGTGGGAGAGAAGAAAAAGTAGACCAGGAACAAACAAAAGGTCTAGCTCAAATTAGAAACCCGAGATGTGTGGTGGCACCACGCCCCAGGGCAGTGCAGGGCAAATGGGCATCGGCTGGGGCTTTTCAGGGCAACATGATAGATGGGGAAAGGGGACACGGACTTTAGGGCACTAGCAAGAGATGGTTAAAAATGCTTTCAATGTTAGAAGTGTAAAACGTTTGAACTTTTTGGACAGAAATTTGGTAACAGCTATCAGAATTTTTAATGGCATACTCCCTGTCCCAAAAATCCTATTTCTGGGAACTTCGTCTATAGAAATACTTGCATAAGCGTACAAAGACATACACATGCACAAGCAGTAACACAGGAAATCAGTGCGACACTGTTTATAACAACAAATAATTAGAAACGATTGGAACATCCATCAGTAGAGCTCTGGATGTGGGTCATCCATATAAGAAACACTCACAGGTTTCATTTATTTTCCCCTGTTAAAATAACCACATAATAATAATTTTAAAATTAAATTTATTTTTTCAAAAAAAGAAGAAGTGAAGAATACTGGAATGGAGGATGTTAGATGACTATCCCAAAAAATTCTGAAGTCATCCAGGAGGATATCAGGATTGATTCAAAAAAAAATAAGTTAATGGAGGTGGACATCCAGTAAACTCTAAAGCACCCCAGCACCCCAATGCATGATTCCATACGTCTGTGTCCAAAGATGTGTCTTTGTATAATTTCTGTGCACTAAAACATGCATAGATGGTAACAGATCCATTTAAGTAGAAGTTGCAACCAGAATAATTTTATAGAAATAACCATCAGCTCAAAGGTAAGCATGCTAGAAGGTCACTGAAAAGGGGGGCTTGTTTTGGGGGGTTTTTTTGGTGAGGAAGATTGTCCCTGAGCTAACATCTGTGCCAGTCTTCCTCTATTTTGTATGTGGGATGCCTCCACAGCATGGCTTGATGAGCAGTGTGTAGATCCGCATCTGGGATCCAAATCTGCAAACCCCAGGCCCCTGAAGAAGAGCACGCAAACTTAACCACTACACCACAGGGCCAGCCCTGCAAGGTGGGTTTCTTAAAGCAGCTAACAACGATCAGGATAAAAACGTCTGCTTTCACAAGTTGATTCCTTCTGTGAACAAACATTCCAGATGTAGGCAGGGAGTTCTGCAGAGACTTCGAAACCACTGGAGTCACTGACTGCTTATCAACATCATCAGCTAACTTAAAAGAGTGCACAGTGGGTTCTTCCCTCGAAGAAAGAGGTAGTATTGAATTCTTTAGTCCATGACGTTACATCACAAACACACACCTATAAGCATTAGACTATCTGAATCTTGCAAAAAAGTGAAACTTAGACACATTAGAATCTTTACTTGCAGATAAATCTTGAAATTCAAAAATTCATACTGAGGAGCAAACATCCTCTGGTTAATCCTCAGTCGGTAACAAGTTGACTGTCAATGGAGCCATCAAAACAAAGCACTCTTCCTTCCATGACCTAATACACGCACCTCATGAAGAAAATGACCTTTCCTTGAAGGGGAGGTGGAAGGAGAAGGGAATGGAGAGACAGCTCACCTCACCATTGTCCAGAACAGCCATGGACGAGGTCTGACCACAGGCAATCCCGACCACCCTCTTAATATGTAAACAGTTTGTAACTTTCCGGGGAGTTGGTTGATTTGCAGTAGATCCTGATCCCACCTGGCCACAGTTGTTATATCCCCAAGCAAACACCTGCAGAGGGAAGAGAAAAAGAAAAAGAAAAAGAAAGAATAGTAAGGGTGAAAATTTTACCTCTAACACACGACAATAATCATAAAATAAAAATAAACCCACTTAATGAGTACCTACGATGAGTAAATGGCTCTTAGTGCTTTATATGCATTAACCTATTTTATCCTCATAGTAATCCTGTTAAGATGACCCTGGAGGAAACACTATTATCATCTCCATCTTATATATGGAAATGGAAACACAGAGAAGTTAAGTGACTTGCTTGAGGTTCCCCAGCCAGTAAGTAATGGAAGTAGAATCTGAACCCAAGCCATCTAGCTGAGCTCTTAACCACTACGCCGTACTCCCTCTATAATTCTGGCAGCTATATCTGTTTTTTAATCTGGAATCAAAAGGAAATGACATATATGCCACATGAGTTCCAGTGACATGAAAAATCTGCTTAACCCTTTGGGCACAAATACTCATTTTTTTCATGGAAACCTTTCAAAACCAAACTATGCTTTTCCCTGTCTCACTAATCCCCAATATTCGACATTACATAAGCTCTCCTGACGACTCAGGACCATCGCAGCTATAATGATCAATCACAGTTCCATATCATAACACAGCAATGCTCCAAAGCACTAAGGAGACATGCGTCCCTACAGAAATGACACTAGGTTGTTGGGCCATTATATTTTCTTTGAGTTCTCATTTGCTGCCTGGCAGCTCTAAGCAGCCCCCTCCTCAACTGCATCCTGCTTACTTTTGGCCTGTGATCTGCTCTGCCATAACCTGAAAATCAGATTTCTAAGGGAGAGAGAAACAAATAGATCTCTAAGCTAGTTAAAATCTAGTTACAAAGATGAAAAACAAAACAAAAATCACTTCCAGTTAATTACCAACTGATCCCATCAAACACGAGTGTGACAGAGAGAAGAATTAGGGAAGGGGAGATGTTGGCAGTAGAGGAAACAACTTCCTGCAACACTAGGAGAATTTCTAAGGACCACTTCCACCCCTCTTCACTTGCCTACAGGCAGTGGTCCTCACACATCCTGAGTTCTGGTTTCCACAATTCTTCCTTTCCTCTGTCAGCACTTTCTATGTGAGTTCACATGTCTGATGCTGCCCAAGGCAACGACAGTAAAACCCACTGCTGATGTCTTAAGAGAATATAGGCTACGGGTTCATTTCACGGGTACAAAAGAAAGAACCCGCAAGACTTCTTAAAAGTGGATTCACAGGAATATCTAGTAAAATAATGCAAAATATTTAGCACAAGTATCCAAAGAAACATATGCTTATGGTTAAAATAAACCAGGAATCCAGGCGATACAAATTAGTGAGCTCTAATTTCAACAATCATTTTTCTTACACTTGTCAAATATCCCAAGTTCCCTTGCAATGCAGCTGCCCTTGATGGGAACTGGGATTCCACTAACCAAGAAACAACGGGTTCCAGGGCATAAGGCCTGTGTGCTAGGCCTGGCTATAGCACATCCCAGCTACGAAACCCTCATCTCCCTGAGCTTCTTTGGTTTCTTCATCCATAACCTGCCCTACTAAGTAAAATCAGTGTAACACCACTGAAGGATTTTAAACAGGGGAACAATATGATCTGATTTGTGCTTTAGAAACCACAGTGGGCAGAGAAGTAATATTGGACAGGGAGACCACCTAAAAAGCTATGGATTAAGAGAGACCATGGCAATTGTCAAGGCAGATGACAAGGCCTGACCTAAGGTGATGGAGATGAAGAGGAACAAAATGATACAAGAAATTAGAAGGTAGAATCAATAGGATGAGTAACCTTTAGGATAAGCATGGAACATGGAGGGTGAACAAGTGGCAGAGTACTAAAATGTTAGTAAAGTTATTTCCTATGACATCATCACATTTACTCAAAAACAAAATAGACCTTAAGGGATGGGGTCATTAAAAAAAAAAAACAGAAGTACGGAACACTGTCATACACATCTGATTGTAGCTTAGCAAAAAGCATGAGACTCATCTGCCTTAAGACTGAAGTCTACTGTCATCAAGAGTGGTCCTAATCACAAAATATAGGTTGGGTTAAGAAAAAGAGTCTGTTCCCACAACGTGTTTAGCTAGGCACACAGGGCTACTTGTTCACACTTTACCAAGTACAACTATGGTCATCATTTTATTTTTTTAAAAGCAAGCACTTTCACAATAGGCAAAAAGGTGTAAACAACCCAAATATCCATCAACAGATAAATGGATAAACAAAATGTGGCATATACATACTCAATAATAATTTGTTAATAATATGCAGGAAGGAAGGAAATTTTGACACATGCTACCACATGATGAACTCTGACGATATTATGTTAAGTGATATACGGCAGTCACAAAAGGACAAATACTGTATGATTCCACTCATATGAGGTACCTAGAGTAGTCAAATTCATAGAGACAAAAAGTAAAATGGCGGTTGCCAGGGCCTGGGGCGAAGAGGAAGTGGAGAGTTAATGATTAATGGGTACAGAGTTTCAGTTTTGCAAGATGAAAAGAGTTCTGTTGGTGGATCGTGGTGATGGTAGCACAATGTGAGTGCACCTAATGTCACCAAACTGTACACTTAAACATAGCTAAGATGGTAAATTTCCTGAGTATTTTACCACAATTTAAAAATAAAGAATAAAATCAGGGCACTTACCTCTCCATCAGCTGCCAGAGCCATTGAATGATGTGAGCCACAAGCTACTTCAACCACTTGCTTGATCAAGAGATTGGTGCAGACTTGAATGGGAGCAATGCCTTGGTTGGTCGTCCCATTCCCAAGCTGGCTATATCCATTGTGGCCCCAGGCATAAACAACTCCATCTATACAAGACAGCCACACAAAAAGAATCAGCTCTAAGAAGACATGGCAACCCCTGTACTTTCTTCTCCAGACTCTCTAAATTGATTTTCCAATCTGAATTTCTTTCACATTGCCTCCTCCCCCCTATAAAGAAACCGCTGATGAGGGTGAGCGAAAGAGGGATGGATGAGAAAACAGGATAAACAGATGCAAAATAGTTAAGGGAAACGACTTGGTGCTAACACAGAAGGAAGATGAGCTTTGTGGTCAGAAATCAGTTTACATACAATCATGCACTGCCTAACAATGTTTTAGTCAATACAGACTGCACGTACAATGGTGGTCCCATAAGATCATTACACACCACAGAGCCTAGGTGTGTAGTTGGCTATACCATGTAGGTTTGTGTAAGTACACTCTATGAGGTTCACACAATGACGAAATCACCTAACGATGCATTTCTCAGAACATATCCCCGTTGTTAAGCAACACATGACTGTATGCAAAAATTAGACCTTTCTAAACACTTTGATTCACCTCAAGAGTTTTTGTGTTACGTACCAAGCAAAAGGCAGAAGACACAGGAAAGTATCACTAATCTTTACCATCATTTTACTAAATACCAAGTCTCAGGGTACCCTGGGATGGGGAGGCGGTCACTCACTCACGAAGTACAGAGGAAAGAGGTACACTTTCTGTATATACTACATATAAAAACCACAGAGCTTCTCTCAAGCAGACTATTTATTGGTATGAAATCTGGCTGAATTTTTTTAATGACTTTTATCTTTTTTGGGATTCTGACAGACGTAACTTTTCTGTTTTGTGTCCTCTCTGGAAGTATCACCGTTTCATGCATCTCCTCGCACAGCATGCTGAGTATCGAGAGCAGATATACTCTTCTCATGACTTTCCCATGGTAATAAAACATGCTGACCTATTAAGGACAATCTAGACCTGGAAACAAGGATATCCAAGAGCAAGAGCAGAAACCCAACTGTTCTTATCGGGCTGTGACTCACCGACAACAGTCCCCAAGCAACCAGAGTAAAGGTATTCATAATTAAGTGGGTTTCTGATTTTCTAATCTAGAATGACAACTCAACAAAGGTAGGGTCCCCTTCCAAGTACAAGCCAGATCTAGCGACCCTCTGACACATGTTTCTCAAGAGGTTTCCCTATTACAGAAATTATGACTAAAACCAGAAATGGGAAATTTTATCTTAAGAAGGATGAGGCACAAGACGGAAAGAAAGAAAGAGCATGAAACCTGAAAGAAAGATCCACAATGTTACGTGAAAGTTATATCAGGTGATAGAAATTTCTAAACCTAGGAGTGTTTTAACTCCTAGAAGACAAAAATAGACTTGAACAGATAGAAATATATACACCTTGTTCTTGGATAGTAAAACTCAATACCATAAAGATGCTAGTTTTTCCAAGCAAAGTTATAAATTTAAGGTAATGGCAATAAAATGCTTCAAGTTACTCTCTGGAGCTAGACTAATTGACTAGAAAGTCCACTAGGAAGAACAAACAAGAATAAATAGGAAAACCTTAAAAAAAGAAGTGAGAAGATGGCTAACTTTACCGATTAAAACCTATTAAAAGTTTCTAAAACTAAGATTAACTCTAGGACATGAACAGACAGACCAACCAATGGAACAGAGCTGAAAGTCTAGAAATAAAACAACTGCATATGGAAATAAAGTCACGTGAGTTGGGGGAAAATGAACTTTTTACAAGTTGGGTTGAGATCACTGGACGGTCATGTTGAAAAATTAGATTCATTCCTCACGCCACACACCACAAGAACTTCCCAATGAATCAGAAATTTAAATGTAAAAACTAAAACCAAACAAGAACTAGAAAGAAAAAATTAGTGAATTTCTCTATAACCTGGGAGGAGGGAAAGCTTTCCTATGACTCAAATCCAGAAGCAATAAAAAGAGTGATAAATCTAGTTACATATTTTAAAAAACTTTACATGGAAAAAAATAACCACGAGCAAAGAAAAAAATAAAATACTCTGAAAAAATACTCATAATTTATATTACCAAGAGACAGTATCTCTAATATAAAAAGAGCTTCTAAAAATACAAAAGAAAAAGACCACGACCCCTACAGAAATATGAATCAACAGTTCACAATACAAGAAATGTAAACGGCTCTTAACTATATGAAAAGATGCTCAATCTCACTCATAAGAAGAAAAGTACAAGTAACAGAAGATCGCACTCCTACTCACCAAGGCTGAGTACCCACTTGCTGAATGCCCACTATGCCAATAACTGAGACCAATGCAGAGCCTTGATACAGCATCACCCCTCAAGGAGACCAACTAGCTATTTGGTAGCAAGGTGACTCCAATGGACCCACTCTATCCAAGAAGGAGCAGCCATTCATAATGATGAGACTCTACATATAACAGAGTATTTACTCTACTGACACAAGATCCCACAAAACATCTCATCAGACCAAGGGACCCATTTTATAGCAAAAGAGTGCAGTAGTGCTGACATGACCACAGGGCTCACTGGTCCTATCAAATACTGCAACATCCAGAAGATGCCAGCTGGAGAGAGTGACAGCAAGTGGGCCGAAAGCACAACTGAGGCATTGGCCTAGAGACGACACCATGTAAGGATGGGATGCCACCCTCCAAGGTAAACTTTACACCCTAAATCAATGGCTACTACATGGTGCTGTGTCCCTAAAAGGGAGACTACACGAGTACAGGAACCAAAGTGGATATATGAGTGGCCCTGCTGACCATCACTCCCAGTGAACAACTTGGGGAATCTGCGCTTCCGGTCCCTACGACTGTACATTCTATAGGTTTATAAGTCCTGGTTCCCTAAGCAGGAACACTCCCACTAAGGGACACAGCAAGAATCCCACTGAACTTTAAGTTATGGCTGCCATAGCCACTCTGTGCTCCTCTAGTCAAAGGACCAACAGGAAAGAAGGGGAGTTACCCTCCTGCCAGAGGCAACAGACCTAATCAGCAGGACCAGGAAGACTGCTGTTATGTAACGGGGACTGAGAGGAGTATGCTTGGCACAGAGTGACATTTGGTGGTCTTTTGGTACACACTTGCCCAATAGTGATGGTAAATAGAAAGGTGCAGTAGCCATGGCCAGAGTACACAGCCTGGTCAAGGGCGCATGCCCCTCAAGGATAACAGTCTGGGTCATGCAATTAGGTAAGACACCTGAGCTGGGAGCTAGCCAAACATGAGAGGAATCTGGGAGGGGTTCTAGAGGAAGGAGGCGATGAGCATCAGTTGTGGGCATGAGACCAGTTGCAGCACAGAGGCTGTCATTCGTCCCACTAATGATCTTTTTTTAAGTTTTCCCTAGGAAAAGAGATCCACCCGAATCCTGGAGGAGCTACACCCAAAACACATAGGAAGATGTGGACCTGAGCAGTGCATGGGAGAGACTTAGCGAATGCTGTGCTGTGCCACCTAGAGGCCCCTCAGGATTAGGGACTTATTCCCCAGACACTAGGAGTAGTGCCAGCTGCCCATTCTCAGCCATCAGTTCTCTCCAGGTTTGCCCTTGGCAATTACTTCCTTATTAATACATTATTTTACTAACTGTAAAACAGTATACATACATCTTTTTTCCCTTTTTACTTGATGAAGCATTGGAAAAGAGAACTTCTCCCAAGATGGCTTTCAGTCCTAATTCCTCGGGAAGCCTTCAAAGCAACCCAATCCAACTGGACACCAGAGTCTACTCTCCCAGCCCTGCTCTCTAACAGACCAAGGATGACACTTCAGGATCACTTGAAGCTTAAGAGATGAGCAAAATTACCCAAAGATATGACAGTGAAGCAATACCAGGCTAGAAGGGAGAGTGGGAGTGGGAAGGGAGAGTGTAAAGAGAGGCAAAGAAGTATCCCATGAATGTCTGACCTTCAAGGAAACTCAGTTTAGCCTTCAGAGACTGGACACTGAGTTGGAGAAGTGGCCAGAAACAATTAATTTTGTAAGTAACCTAATTTAATATTGCTTCAGAAGACAAAAAGAAACCCACAAGCCCTAGGTCTGTATGTGAAGTAATAATACAAAATGAACACTGATCTTCAGAGTAGTCAACAGGTGGGACTAGAAGTTCAATTTAATAACGTAGCACCGGTTAAAATATTCCTAAAATGCCCTTTAGAAATACCATGCAAGGCAGTAAAGCATGGAGAACTGAACACATGTTTTTATCTTTAGTCCCTCCCAAGCCCTACTGAAATGATAGTAATGGGAACAACAACAAAAAGGTGTAAACACTCAAGGACAAGGAGAATAGAGAAGAAAACACAACATGAGAGATGTCAACAAAATCTGGGAAGATGGAAAGCAGACGGAGATGGTAAGCAACACAGCTGACCAGAGAAGGTGACACCTACATCTGCAAAAAGGGAAGTCAATTGCAGCCCTGGACTCTCAGGAAGGTCCAGGGATTGGAGGGACCAGGGGCCACAGGAGATGCAAGGGCAGGATGCAACTAAAAACAGAAGGAGTTAGACCCCAAATCTTCATCTTCTTCCTGCAGGGTCAGGCAACTACCCCTCCCCAGCCCTGGAAAAAGACAAGAGACTAAACAGCATTTACTTGCTGTGAATTTCTTAACATCACTGCACTATAGCCCAACTTCTCCCTTTGCCCAAGCCTGCTTCCCTCCCTTACCCTACATAACACAACAGTGAACATAAGCTGGAAGATAGTCTAGAGAGGCCCTAAGGCAGCAGTGAGGTGCTGTAGTGAGAAAAGGAGAACTGGGAGACAACATATGGAGTACTGAGGTCCCTGCCCTTCCCCTGCTCACTGAAAGTTAGCAAAAACACATATCCAGGTCAGGAATCTGGAGGATTCCACCCTGCAGAAAGTCATATACTGATAATGGGAGCATCCCTAATGATCTCCCTGAAGTGAAGCTCAGCGCGTGACGAGTCCCACCGTGAAGACAGTCCTCCCAGTGTATGAGTGCCTGGCTCCTACCTGTGGACAGACAGCCGAGGATCACTAAACTTTCAAAGACAGCCTCTAACGCAAAAGTCAGACAGCAAAAAGCATAAAGAGAAATAAGAAATTTGAAAGAAAGAAAAAAAAAGAAATAACACAGAGAACAGAAGATAACTTAAAAATAATCTGTAACAGCCTCCAAAGACACTGAAGCAATGAAACAAGAACGGGAGGCTCTAAAAATGCACAGTTAGAGAACAAGAAAGAGAATTTGGAAATGTAACTGCAGAAATGTTAAAATTAGATATAAGGATTGTAAGATAAAGTTGAAGAGATTTCCCGGAAAGTAGATAGGAGAGAAAATATAATAAAATTAGGAGGATCAGTCTAGAATCTCTAACTTCCTTCTAAGAAAAATTCCAAAAAGAACAGAGGAAACAAAGAAGGGAAATTATCCATGAAATATTATAAGAAAATTTTCTAGAAATGAAGGAATTTCCAGACTGATGGGACAATAGAACGACCAAGACAATAAATTAAAAAGTACCCACACCAGAATACATAATCATGAATATTTCAGAAAGCTTCAGGCAAAGGATCCTTAAAGCTTCCAAAGAGGAAAAAACAATCATATGCAAAACAGCAAAGTCAGAATGACATCAGACTCTCAACACCAAACCCTGAAACTTGAACGGTGCAATGGCTTCAAAATTTTGAGGAAAAATGATTTCCAAGCAGGAATTCTAAGCCCAGCCAAATCACTGATAAATTGTATGGGTAAAATAAAGACACTTTAACACAGTGTCTCGGGGCCGGTCCCGTGGCCGAGTGGTTAAGTTCATGTACTCTGCTTCGGCAGCCCAGGGTTTCACCAGTTCAAATCCTGGGCACAGACATGGCACCAGTCGTTAGGCCATGCTGAGGCAGCATCCCACATGCCACAACTAGAAGGACCCATAACTAAAAATACACAACTATGTACCAGGGGGCTTTGGGAGAAAAAGGAAAAATAAAATCTTTAAAAAAAAAGACAGTGTCTCAAAGATTTCTCTCACATCTGCTTCCTTGGGAAACTATTAGAGAACGTGTTTCACCCAAATGAGGGTATAATCCAAGGAGGAAGACATAGGACACAAAAGATAAGGAATCCACAAAGGACAAAGATGAAGGGATTTCCAAGGATGATGGTGAAATGAAGTTCTAGGTTGACAGCTCTGCAGCAGGCCTAGAGTGACCAGTCCAGCCTTGAGCAGGACAGAGGGCTCCGGACATGACCTGACACACTCAGATGGGCTGATAAGCCACAAATTCTGCTGTATAGAAGAGTCTGGATATACATTAACAATAGATGTACAGATAAGTCAATGAACCTTAGGGAAACAAACAGTTGTACAAGAAGAGAGATGGCTTAGCTATAGATAAGACTCACAGAGTCCTAAAAATGTAAACACTGAATATCGATTTAACCAAAATGGTGATATCACTGTATTGAAAGGATAAGGGGAGGAAAGGTAGAGGAAAGAGAGCTAAATTCTATCTGTCATTATAAAAGTCAAAGGATAAATACCTGAAATTGAAATTCAGAAATAGCAGTATTATAAGCATGTTAATTAAAAAATTAAGATTAAAATCAGAAGACACATTTGAAGAAGTTAAAAGCTTTCCACCTAAAGAGCAGTTTCTAAGAGTGAGGAGGGGTGAGGGAGAGGTCCTTCTGTTTTTTACTAAAAGTCATACACTATTTGATGGTTTAAAGTGTTAAACTGTTTTAAAACTATTTGATTGTTTGTAATACACATATAATACTCATGAATATACATACATAATAATATACATATTATACACACATATGATACATAATGTATAGCATGTTTAATATATATTATGTAAAATGTATGACAATCAAAATTGAATTAAAAACAAAAAGAAAAATATTCCCACAAGAAGACCACTTATTTGTATTTATTTTATTTATATCTATCTTAATAGTAACACTCAAGATAGTTAAAATATATGACCTAGTCTCTGAAAATAATTGCAAAAGAAGAGTTATAACTTCCCAAGGCCACCAGTTTGAAAAAAACCAAGAATCTGTTTTAGTATGTTTGCTCTAAAAAATGCCTCAGTTCTTTATGTTTAGAAATCAATGACTAGTTAAAATTGATATGTTAGGAAAAAATTAAATCATTAGGACACAAGGGATGACAAGCTAAACCAGTCAGCAAAGTAGTAAGTGCCTCAAAGAGCCAGTGTGGCGCCAGAAGGCACGACTACACAACTCGGAAGGGAGATAACCACCTCACTATACTCAACACCAGTTATACTCACGCTATGCTCAAGACCAGACGATCACGCTCAGATCTAGCTCTCACAGCTTGAGAAAGATGCAGAGAACTTGAGTGGATTCAGCTATGAGTTAAAGGCAATTAAAAAGCTCAATACTGAGACTCAAGGCAACATCCAAAGAAGCTGTGATTCCCCAGTCTAGAGACAGAAAAAGCAGAGAAGCAAACCATCCCCCAAAGGCCACCCTACAGGATTAGCAACAAAAAGTTAAAGACCTCTTCTAGAGAGAGTGAGAGCCAATGCGCTTGAAATATAACGGGAAGAGCTTAGCGTGGACATAACAGATTCTCAGAGAGTTCTGGTTGCCCACAGTGCAGATCAATTAGCAAAGAAGAATGCACAGTCTCCTCCTTTAGTGACCTTGGGGAGACACAGAAAAAAGAATCTACCCTGCGTTCTTTCCATATGGCACCCACATGAATGCCAGGGAATAAACTATGATTTCTTGAACTCAAGATTCAGAAACTACACAAAGAAAGGAAACCCAGTATTATCTGCATTTATGAAAATGTTTCAAGTAAAACCTGAAAGGTGCCTCGCTACCACAAATCCATTGAAAAACTAGGCTGAAGGACCCCTTCATTTGCTGTATCTAATCTTCCACAGCTTTACATAAGTTCTAAACCCTCAGAAGTTTGCTTAATTTGCAAGTCATTCTATGGCTGTTCCAGAGTTAGCCTGAATTTAACTTTTACCTGCTTTGTGTACTTCCCCTCAGAAATTAAGAAACAAACCATTCCAAATTAATTACTTGATACTGCCCTACCTCCCCTTAGCTTAGAATTAACTGCTCCATTTCCCACAAACTGAAAAGATGGACTTGTTCCCTCTTTACCTTCAGTGCTGAGAAGAACATGTGGTCCACTCCCATAACTAAGGCTTTTGATCTTCTTTCCACATAAGGCTTCCAGCTTTTTGGGTATAAGTGTACTCTGGTTATCTCCAGTTCCTAGACAGTTACTATAGTTCAGTCCAAATACAAAGACCTAGGAAACAAATAGTTTTCTCTGAGTCATTTGGCCTAAAGTTACTCTGAAAATAAGACACACTCAAGTTCAGTCTGACAGCTCAGTAGGTAGGAAGAGACTGATACGGTTGTTAAGGAAAATCCAACCTCTGCGGACAGTTCTTAAGTTTTAGAATATTTGGTTATCTGTGAAACTCAAAGAGTAGTAGGGGGAGAGGGCTATTAAATTGAGAAACTGAAAGAAAAGACAAATTCTATTCAAGACACAGTCTTCTTGAATTTCAGGTTCTCTTTATCCTCCACCTTTTCTTAGGGTTCAAACTACACATTTTAAAGCTCAACTCCAAAATGAGCCTTAAAATAAAACTCTGGGTTTTGAGAGATTCGTACCTCATCGTTGTCAGTAACGTAGAGTGCTTCATTGGCTGAGGTGCCAAAGACACACGCTTTCCGAATAGATGCAATTTCTTGAGGTGAAAGCAGAGTGAAGATTGGCCACTTTCCTACATCCACCATGACTCTGGCTTCAAGTAATTCCTATAAACAAGCCGACATCTCTGCTGTAATAAACAAAAAGGATTCCAAGAAAAAAATTAACCACTAAACCAACTTAAAAAAACGACTGTTAATAAAAGGAAACAAAAGCTAATTCCAGAATAAACGACTTGCCTTTGGTTAAATGGATCGCTCACTTTCCCCGGCAACGTGTCCAATCCTTCCTCCACCTCCACACCCGGGCCTTTTCCTGTAAAGGGGGGAACAACTTGCTAGAACCAGTTGTTGGTCTTGCCCACTCACAAGTCAGTGCTTATCTGGTACATACATGCTCATATGCACCCAGACAGCAGAAAACGGAGAGTAGACATGCCAACCAGTTGAAATCAGGGTCTCCCGTCAGGGATTTCTTCCCCACAGTACTGAGATAAAGTTAAAGGTTACAATATTAGTTTATCTAAGACAGTTAATGCTCAACTAGAAGTGTGTGTATTATAAAATCAGAATCATTACCTCTACCTCCCCACTCTCCCACGACCATGCACTGGAAGACTCCCATCCCTTGTACAAAATCACTGCCACACGGAGCCACCATTTGATGATGGGAATGGAACATCCCTCAGATAGCTCAGGGGGCAAAAACATGAAGAAGCACCAGCCCAGGATTTACTGGATGAAACCTTAAAAGAAAGTATTACATTCTGGTCCTGATTTATATGTCCACACTTTCTACACAAATGCAGACATTTCACGCTGAGAAAAGTTACCATGAATGAGGGTAAAACAATTCACCCCAATCTTGGTGTTAGAGCTGATGACTACAACCTTCATGCAAGTAGCAATTAGCTTAAACAGTACCCTATAAAAAGTAAAGATATGTATAAATTTCCGGAAAACTTTAAACTTGATCTGTTTAAGGACTTTTATACAAAGAATCCTGGTCATGGCTCCAATTCTTCTCGGGTTAAAAAGTATTTCTAGAAATTCCAGGGGGCTGCACAAGCACAAACCCTTTCACGTCAAGTGAGTTTCTATTCTGGCTCTCACCTCTGGAAACTGAAAATAGAACCAAATGGCTGATAAATACAACCAGAGTTTCCTAATGAGGTACAGAACTCTTCAAGTTCCTTCCTACTCACCCTCTTCTCAGAGCTCTAAAAATAGCAGAGAGGCAGGCTCAAGACCCAGGTCTTTTTGGTTCCAGGGCCTCTGACAGCATCCATGGAGCAAGCCTCAGGCTTGCGCATACTTAGCCAAGGCCTATTTCCACCATCCAGGGATATTTTTTCTCAACAGCACCAACTTGGATGACAAAGGTCAGGTGCTTGCTATGCCCCAAGTTATCAAACCACATATTCAATAAGCATTAAACACCATCAGGACAGGCACAGCCAGACTCCTCAAATAACATGTGAATGTTCCGAAAAGTGTGCTTGCATGGGTGTATGGATGGGTGGGTGGGTGGGTGGGTGTGTGTGTGTTTGTTTGTGTGTGTGTGTGTGTGTGTGTGTGTGTGTGTGTGTGTGTGTGGGTGGTGTTGGTGGGAACAGGTAAAGGATTTGGGGTAGGATAAAAACGAAAATACATTAAGAAATTTTGTTTCAAATGGTACAAAAGAGCATACAAAACTAAATCTCCCTACCATACCTCCCCACCCTCTCCTCAAAGGCGACCACTGTTAGCAGTTGTTTCTAATCCCTTCCAGAGAGAGTGTGTACTTAACACAGCATTACATGTAAGTGTGTGTGGAAGCTTTTTCCCCCTACTTAACAGCACATCTTGGAAATCATTCTCTATTGGCACATGTAGATCTACTTCATTTCTTTTCAATGGAACATACAGCACTCCATTACATCGATCTAACAATTTACCTGTTTCTGCTAAGCAACATTTATTTCCAGTCTTTTGCTAACAGTAACAATACTGCAATTATTGTTTACATATATTACTGTATATACATGTCTTTTCTTACACATAAATTTCTTTTTTTTTAAGATTTTATTTTTTTCCTTTTTCTCCCCAAAGCCCCCCAGTACATAGTTGTATATTCTTTGTTGTGGGTCTTTATAGTTGCGGCATGTGGGACGCTGCCTCAGCGTGGTTTGATGAGCGGTGCCATGTCGGCGCCCAGGATCCGAACCAACGAAACACTGGGCCGCCTGCAGCGGAGCGCGCGAACTTAACCACTCGGCCACTGGGCCAGCCCCTCTTACACATAAATTTCTAAGACAAATTCCTAAAAATGTAATTGCCAGGTCAAAGTCTAATATTACCTGTAACAGCTATTTCAAATTGTCCTCCACTGACATAGTACCAACACATAAAATAACCATCAATGTATGTTACCACACGGTGTATTATCATGGTGTCTCAGGTTTGTTTCACCTTGAGTCTCTCTTTTGATGGGTGAGGTTGGGCATCATTTAAAAAAATAATCACAGGGGCCGACCCCATGGCCGAGTGGTTAAGTTCGCGCGCTCCGCTGCAGGCGGCCCAGTGTTTCGTTGGTTTGAATCCTGGACGCGGACGTGGCACTGCTCATCAAACCACGCTGAGGCAGCGTCCCACATGCCACAACTAGAAGGACCCACAATGAAGAATATACAACTATGTACCGGGGGGCTTTGGGGAGAAAACAGAAAAAAATAAAATCTTTAAAAAAATAATCACAACTATAGCATCAATAACTAATGCTTCTTGAGCACTACGTGCCAAGCACTGTTCTAAGTGTTTTACATTTCTTAATTCATTTCATCCTCACTTTACAGACAAGGAAATGGAGGGAAAGAGATTTTAAGAACTTGCTAAAACGAGTAAGTGGCAGAGTCGGGACCTGAAGCCACACAATCCAGTGGCAGCGTGCACACTCTTCACCTCTCAGTCTCATCTGTTTAAGAGCTCATGCATCATCCTTTTACATAAGAAAAAAGAAGCTCCACAAATGGCCTGCCCTATGCCTCTTACAAGACAGACAGGGAAAGGAATTACAAGAAGGGAAACAGTATAAATGCCTATAAACAGGTAGATAACTTTCAAGAAAATCCAGAAGCATATTTTCCCAGAAAATGAACCGTGTAAAAGTTAATCTTTAAAATGTAATATTTTATGTAATATACAATTACCTTTTAAATAAATAAATGGCGTGGAAAAGAATTAGCTGAAAATATGATTCACTTTTAAAATTACAACACAAAGGGATATTACCATTCAAAATGGCACAATTCCTGACAGCAGAATAATTATTCTGAAGTCATTAATCAGTTACAGGCAACTATGCCCCAAGGGTGTGGTAACCTGCTGAAAAACCAAGCTGTCTTTCACAATGACGGCTTATTTTACGTACTGTGTCTACCCACTGCTGAATTACTTGAAGCTTTATCTCACAAGATACTTCTCCAAAGACTTGTAATTTAAGAGTCAATAGAGTAGTTTCCCGGTTGGTTAACACGTGGAGATTTGGGGCAGAGGAGCGCCCTTGGAGAAGGTACAGAAGCTCCTCACACTTCCCATATTCCTTGCCCTATGCATCTCTTAAATCTGGCTGTTCCTGAGTTATATCCTTTTATAATAAACCAATGATACAGAAAAACAGTCAATATAAAACCCAGGCCATATATCATCCATGTCCATACCCATCATAAGAGCGAAAGCACCAATAGCCCTGGCAGAGTGGAAACAACTGAGAGTCCTGAGGCCTGTGTCTGAGTCCAAGATTCACTTTTAATCAATCTGAGTGACATGCCACTTACCTTTTGAGCCTGGGTTTCCAAAAAAGTTCTTCTGTAAAAATCTATTAATTGTATATTCAAGATATAATAAAGAAGCTATGAGGGATTTCTGAATGCACAAGAAGAGGAAGGGCAGTAATGCTGGCCAAGCAGGTAATTACTCCTAGCAACACAATCAGGCAAAACAAATAAAGAACAGGAAGGAGGAAACTAACAATGATCAAGAGCTTGCTTTGTTGTAGACACTGTTAGGTAGCTTCACGTACATTGTATTTCATTTAATCCTCACAACATTCTTGTAAGAAAGAGCTCACAATCCATTCTTAGGAGATGAGGAATGAGGCTCAAAGGCAAAATGACTTTCCAAGGTCATAGAGCATTAAGTGGCATACTCAGTATTCAACTCTGGGGACCCCTCTGATTCTTCTTCCAGAGAACATCAGTCCTGACTTTTCAATGGCTAAACTTCTCCAACATTACTTCCTTCTGACTTTATCTTGCCTCATAAATGTACACCCGCATCTGTTTTTAAAATGCTTCAAATACAAAAAGTACTTCCAAAAAAAAATGTGTTCCCCAATATGGCTCTGTCTAGATTTGCCTGGTTAAATCTCATAAGTGTCATTCATTCCTTGATTCTTCGAAAAACCACTGGGAGGCAGGCTTTGGAGACCAAATATGACCTTTGTCCTCAGGGAGCTCACAAGAGTGTGTGAGCACAAGGTGTGGCCAAGGGCTACAGACTGCTAAGGCTAAAGTATGTCTTCCTTAGACTACATTCAACCTGGGCATCTGATGACATGAACAGGACAGCCTCAGAATTCAGGTAAGGTTCTCCGAGAGGTTCTGTGGAGGTATTAAAACCCAGCATGTGCTATGTGCTATAAAGAACAACAGATCAGAATCCTGAGCTTGGGCGTGTGACATTTCTTTACTAAGGCAGCACAATATAAATGTAAATGGAAATACCACCAAAATTTTCTAATTAACTCAAAATTACCACCACCATCACTACAATTAAATTACTGTGGTGAGATATTTAATTACCCATTTTCCTCGGGGCAGTTGTGCCATTGCCACTATTAAGAAAATGATACTAAGTATCATAAGTCTATCAATTTCACAAGACTTAATGTTGGACCCTCTATCACAAAATTATAAAGTGTTCATGTATACTACTAACCCAAAAAGCTAAAGCAGGTGGAATCACTAAAAATTAACTAGCATTTAATCTTTTATGAAATCTGTATCAGACTTAAGAACCCTGTGGCTGACAATGACTCAGAAACACAAGGATCTATCACAAGAAGAGTGGTATTAGGGCAGCTCTGATGTCTTATGACATCTACTAAATTTGCCTAAACATGACGTAGAAGTATTAACAGTTCATTCTAATTGTATGGATTTCACTTTAAAGGAATATAAATAGCTCAACTACATTTCATTGAAATCCTTACTCTAGAAGCTGCAAAAAAATTTAGACTTGTCAAATAATAAAATGTGAAGTTCTCTTTTTTTCCCAAAGATTTTATTTTTCACTCAAATAAACAAAATCAGAAATGAGCCAGGAGAAATAACAACAGACTCTGCAGAAATACAACAGATTATAAGAGAATACTACAAAAAACTATATGCCAATAGAATGGATAACCTAGAGGAAATGGATAAATTCTTGGACTCCTACAATCTCCCAAAGCTCACTCAAGAAGAGGCAGACAATTTGAACAGACCAATCACAAGGAAAGAGATTGAAACAGCAATCAAAAACATCCCAAAGAATAAAACCCCAGGACCAGATGGCTTTCCTGGGGAATTCTACCAAACTTTCAGAGAGGATTTAATACCTATCCTTTTCAAGCTATTCCAAAAAATTAGGGAAGATGGAACACTTCTTAACATTCTATGAGGCCAACATCACGCTGATACCAAAACCTGACAAGGACACCAAGAAAAAAGAGAACTACAGGCCAATATCACTGATGAACATAGATGCAAAAATTCTAAACAAAATTTTGGCAACCAGAATTCAGCAATTCATCAAAAGAATCATACATCATGATCAGGTGGGATTCATACCAGGGACACAGGGATGGTTCAACATCCGCAAATCAATCAACGTGATACACCACATCAACAAACTGAGGAATAAAAACCACATGATCATCTCAATAGATGCAGAGAAGGCATTTGACAAGATCCAACAGCCATTTATGATAAAAACTCTGAACAAAATGGGCATAGAAGGAAACTACCTCAACATAATAAAGGCCATATATGACAAACCCATAGCCAACATCATACTCAATGGGCAAAAACTGAACCCCATCCCCCTGAAAACAGGAACGAGACAAGGATGCCCTCTATCACCACTCTTATTTAACATAGTACTGGAGGTCCTGGCCAGAGCAATCAGGCAAGAAAAAGGAATAAAAGGAATCCAAATAGGGAGGGAAGAAGTGAAACTCTCGCTGTTTGCAGACAACATGATCTTATATATAGAAAACCCCAAAGAATCCATTGGAAAACTGTTAGAAGTAATCAACAACTACAGCAAAGTTGCAGGGTATAAAATCAATTTGCATAAATCAGTAGCATTTCTATACTCCAGTAATGAACCAACAGAAAAAGAACTCAAGAATACAATACCATTCACAATCGCAACAAAAAGAATAAAATACCTTGGGGTAAATTTAACTAAGGAAGTGAAGGACCTATATAATGAAAATTACAAGGCCTTTCTGAGAGAACTGGATGACGACATAAGGAGATAGAAAGACATTCCATGTACATGGATTGGAAGAATAAACATAGTTAAAATGTCCGTTCTACCTAAAGCCATCTACAGATTCAACGCCATCCCAATCAGAATCCCAATGACATTCTTTACAGAATTAGAACAAAGAATCCTAAAATTCATATGGGGCAACAAAAGACCCCAAATTGCTAAAGCAATCCTGAGAAAAAAGAACAAAACGGGAGGCATCACAATCCCTGACTTCAAAACATACTACAAAGCTACAGTAATCAAAACAGCATGGTACTGGTACAAAAACAGGTGCACAGATCAATGGAACAGAATTGAAAGCCCAGAAATAAAACCACACATCTATGGACAGCTTATCTTTGACAAAGGAGCTGAGGGCATACAATGGAGAAAAGAAAGTCTTTTCAAAAAATGGTGCTGGGAAAACTGGAAAGCCACATGTAAAAGAATGAAAATTGACCATTCTTTTTCACCATTCACCAAAATAAACTCAAAATGGATCAAAGACCTAAAGGTGAGACCTGAAACCACAAGGCTGCTGGAAGAAAATGTAGGCAGTACACTCTTTGACATCAGTATTAAAAGGATCTTTTCGGACACCATGCCTTCTCAGAGAAGGGAAACAATAGAAAGAATAAACAAATGGGACTTCATCAGATTAAAGAGCTTCTTCAAGGCAAATGAAAACAGGATTGAAACAAAAAAACAACCCACTAACTGGGAAAAAATATTTGCAAGTCATATATCTGACAAAGGCTTAATATCCATAATAGATAAAGAACTCTCGCAACTCAACAACAAAACATCAAACAACCCAATCAAAAAATGGGCTGGAGACATGAACAGACATTTCTCCAAAGAAGATATACTGATGGCCAATAGGCACACGAAAAGATGCTCATCATCGCTGATCATCAGGGAAATGCAAATCAAAACTACACTAAGATATCACCTTACACCCATTAGAATGACAAAAATATCTAAAACTAATAGCAACAAATGTTGGAGAGGTTGCGGAGAAAAAGGAACCCTCATACACTGCTGGTGGGAGTGCAAACTGGTGCAGCCACTATGGAAAACAGTATGGAGATTCCTCAAAAAATTAAAAATAGAACTACCATACGATCCAGCCATCCCACTACTGGGTATTTATCCAAAGAGCTTGAAGTCAGCAATCCCAAAAGTCCTATGCACCCCAATGTTTATTGCAGCACTGTTTACAATAGCCAAGACATGGAAGCAACCTAAGTGTCCAGCAACAGACGAATGGATAAAGAAGATGCGGTACATATATACAATGGAATACTACTCAGCTGCAAAACAGAACAAAATCATTCCAGGTGCAATAACATGGATGGACCTTGAGAGAATTATGTTAAGTGAAATAAGCCAGCGAGAGAAGGACAATCTGTGTATGACTCCACTCATATGAGGAATTTAAAATTATGGATTAAGAACAGTTTAGTGGATACCAGGGGAAAGGTGGGGTTGGGGGTGGACACAAAGGGTGAAGTGGTGCACCTACAACATGACTGACAAACATTAATGTACAACTGAAATTTCACAAGATTGTAACCTATCAATAACTCAATTAAAAAAAAAAAGATTTTATTTTTCCTTTTTCTCCCCAAAGCTTCCCTGTACCTAGTTGCATATTTTTAGTTGTGAGTCCTTCTAGTTGTGGCATGTGGGATGCCGCCTCAGCATGGCCTGACGAGCAGTGTCATGTCCGCACCCAGGATCCGAACCGGCAAAACCCTGGGCCAGCGAAGTGGAACGCGCAAACTTAACTACTCGGCCACCGAGCTGGCCCCTGAAGTTATTCTATTAATGCACTGAGGAGGAATCTTCAAATGGTCTGCTCAACCTAGGCCATCCTGGATAGGCACGCACCTTGGTAATTATTCAGCAGTTATTAACTAAGTATCCTAAGGAAGGCAATGCATTGCTTTTCCTTCCCACGTTGCATCCCTCACATGAAGCATTCCGAAGGAAGATGCTAACAGAAAGCTAAGTCATGCGCTTATTCCCAAGTTAAAAACAAAACAAAAACAAACTCCACAAAACACAAATGTACCCTGTAAGGCTTAGCTATGCTATAAAACAATACATACTAGATGATTACAATTTTTTAAAGTATAATATATATAGAAAAAAGGATATACATATATACACCAAAATGTATTTCTCTGGAGAGATTACAGGTGATGTTTCCTTTCTTTGTATTATTAAAATATATTCCAAATTCCAAACACTTTGTGACCAAAAAATAAACAAATATTTTAAATGAAAATAAAAGCTTGATTATTTGAATTATGTTTACCCTGCGAGCTATTCAAAGTTTTAAGAGGTATTCTTGCCTTAAATTCACAACCTAGGGTTGCAGAGTGCTTCAGGCAAATCTGTAAAGTGAATTATTAATATTAAATTAAATGTAGAAAGTGGGAATGCAAAATGGTGCAGCCAACATGGAAAACATTACGGCAGTTCCTCAAAAAATCAAACAGAGAATTCCTGCATGATCTGGCAATTCCACTTCTACTATACACATCCAAAAGAATTGAAAGCAAGACTCAGATACATAGTTGTACACCAACGTTCATAGCAACATTATTCACAACAGCCAAAAGGGAGATATCCCAAATATCTATTGACAGATGAGTGGACGAACAAAACGTGGTCTCTATATACGATGGAATATTATTTGGCCTAAAAAGAAATGAAATTCTGACATACACTACAAAAGGGATGAACCTGGTGAGCTAAGTGAAATAAGCCAGACACAAAAGAACAAAAATTGTATGATTCCACTTATATGAGGTACCTAGACCAGCCAAATTCATAGAGACACAAAGTAGAATCGTGAAGGCCAGAGACTAAGGGGAGACGAGTATGGAGAGGCATGGTTTAGCAGATACTGAGTTTCAGTTTGGGATGATGAGAAAGTTCTGGAGATGAATAGCAGTGACACTGGTACAACAATGTGAATGTACCTAATGTCACTAAACTATACACTTAGAAATGGTTAAAACGGTAACTTTTATGTTATGCATATTTTACCACAATTTTTAAAAATCAAACTATGATCCCATAGGCTTATATCAAACCTGCATTCATAAACTCAAAGATGTATTTTAAAAAATTAAATGTAGAAGAGTTTCAGTCCTAAAAAATATTTTTGGAAAAGTACAATCATAATTCATTAATTCTGTCCTGGGAAGGCAAGTTCAGATTAGGGAAATTCTGAATGGAACATTTCTAAAAGGAATATAGCCTTCTTAGAACTTTCCCACACAACACAGCAATTCAAACTAGACACAGTAATTGCTATGATGACCCACCCTTCCAGAGCTTGACTGATAATCATAAAAATCAGTTGCAACAAGCACATCAGTTATACTAAATAGTTACTTCTGAAGTACTTCAATCAGATAGCGGTTTTTTGTAATCTTTTTTTAATCCATTATTTTATTTAGGAAATACTTTCTCAAAAATAACATTACTATGCTCAGCCTGAATTACCACTCATTGTGCATGAGTAGGTGAATCAATGATTTTTTTTGCTGTACGGAGATAAAGCAAGAACAGAAGAGCAGAAAAGAGAAAGGTAAGCAGAGGTTGGAAAAGAGTTTAACACCCTCAGAGGATAACATACTAA